CACGCTTTTTATTTAGCCGACTAAACGATGAGGCTAACTTAAAATTCTTCAGATTCATGTTACTTTCATCGCCTCTTCTTACAAAAGTTTCAGAAAAACATAAAATTTTAGGAGTAGTATTTTTAGTGTACCTGATTTCGCTAAGATTTAGTTCAATAGAATCTAGTTTGCTAAGAAGTCCTGCTATATTTTGGTGTAATAAGTAAGAGCTGCTTATTAGGTCATCTCGTGAGGAACTTGAGTCTTCATTAAAAAATCTCTATTGTTTACATGTGAGTTCTGGCTAGGTCTTATCACGGGAAAATAGTACGGTATGGTACCCTTTCTAGGAATGTCGCCACGATTACATAGTTTTTTTAAATTTTTTTTCTTGAAAGTCAAAAATTTTTTGGTATAGTAATCATAGTCAAATATATAGTTTAACTTTTTACATATACTTGTAAGATATTGCCTTTTATAAGTACCACGTTCAATATCTAAATATGAACAATTTTTAGAACTATTACATATCATTTTCAACATATTATTAAGTAATTTTTCATTAAGAAATCTATTAGTACAGACATTTAATAAAATTATTTTGCTGTTTTTGATAATTTTTAGTAAAGCGCATAGTTCTATAAATATTTGGTATGGATTGGTATCATTTTCACCTAGGCATAGTACCAGGTAATTTCCCACACAGTCTTCCAAACCGTCAACTGTACTTAAGAGATCACACGTTTTTGCATTGGGTTTAATGATGGAGTTAATTTCAAAGCGTCCGTATTGTGTATTAAATCTCGATCGTATAAGCTCCGAGGCAAGTCCTCGGCATTGTTGACTGCCTATTATATGTATCTTGAATTTTGTGTTAGGCAGTTGGTCAGCTATTGGATAGCTAGCGCCATCTCTCGAGGACGGTAAACATTCTTTAGGTTTTATAAAATTGCTCCTAGAATCAGCGTTAAGAACCTCCATCGAGGTTTCTAATAATTCCAAGTTGCCACAACTTGCATTTAATTTTTGTTTCTTCTTTATTTTCCTACCTTGTTTTTTCCTCTGTTTTTTGCTTCCTGACAATGTGTTGGGAGTAGTAATATTGTAAGGTGTAGAATATTTCTTTTTAAGATTATTTATGGTTTCTTTTTGTTTTGAAATTTCAATATTTTTCATGGAATTTTCAAGTGATAGGTTTCCAATTCTTTGGTGCGCTAAATCCAAATCCAATTCTAATTTTAATTTATTTATTTGCTCCAATAATTCGGAATATTCGTATACATTTCTGGTAGAAATGTCGGGTAAGCTTCTAACTTCATAACAGTCATAGTTCGATTGAGTTGAGGTAGATGAAATGTTAAGGGATTCAATGGATCTTCCCTTTTTTCTTCTTATTGTAACGTAGGCATCCTCCATTGTGAGAAAAAAAAAATAAAAATAAAAAGAATAATAGTAAAGACGAACAATTTTATAGCCGTCGTGATTTGAACCGGGACGTTTCAAGCTTTATGTTAATTTCTTGACTAGTAGATAACACAATTAGCCAACTGGACTATTACAAATATTGTGAAATTAAGCCATATATTTCAATTTGTATAGATTGCTTAGAAAATCCGTAACTATTCAATTGAGGTGGGTCACCTCGGAGAACAAAGGATTCACTTAATTTATACGTTTCTTCACTTTTATCATCGGTCACTAGTTTATAGCACTTTACTGGTAAGTTTGTCACATTATAAGTTTGTAGATTGAGTGGAAATTGTATTTCCAAGCAAAAATATAATTTTATATGAAATGTTAGGGCCAAAATTTTTTATTGTTATTATTGTCACTGTTTCATAAAAAATTACTTGTATAACACTACCACCACAAAGATAACTTTAAGAAACCTCACTGAGTTACTTTTTATTTGAAATAACGCAATTAAACTATTAGTAAACAATAAAGTACACGGAGCTATTGTTTACACGCCAGCGCCACGTGTGTCTTTTCTACTTATCTGATCAATGCATTTAGTATCTTAATATATATGTTAACGTAAAATTGTAAAAACCGTTAGATTGTAATCTATCTCGCGAGATTATAAACTGTCGAAAGATTGTGAACTAAGCGTACTGCTTACAATTTAACGTATTATTATTCGGTAGATTGTAATCTATCGAAGTGAAACCGTCAAATTGTGAAACGGCCATTTTCTACTTTTCTATTGGTTATAAGAGATGTGACATTCTCGTTTTCTATTGGTTATAAGTGATGTGACATTCTCGGTAAATTAATCGAATCGATTATTTCCTCATTTGTTAATTTTAAAGTTGAACCTAATCGAATCGATTATTTCCTCATTTGTTAATTTTAAAGGTAAACCTAATTTAAACATTACTTGTCAAATGTACATACATTACATTAACTTCATGTTTCAATTAGTGTAGGGTTCCGAAAATTTCGCAGCTTCGTTCGTCAGCTTTCTAAATTGTATTGTTCGTTGTCCGTAACAATATATATAAATTACGTGTCACGTTGTTTGTCCGCTATGGACTCCTAAACTACAGAACCGATTTTAAATTAAATGTGCACACCGTGTGCAGTTTGATCCAACTTAAAAGATAGGATAGCTTACATCTCAATTTATACCCGCAATATTATTTTATTGCAAAATATTTGTTTATTATTTGATAGTCACAATTCTAACAGATGCCGCTGTGTTGAAAGTACCAACGTTTCACATAAGCTACAATTGAATGGCATAACCACCAAAAAAGCATGGTGGTCCCCATGACTGGTGTTCTCCAAACGTTTCCCTTGAATAGTTTGCTACTATGTAATATAACAAAAACCTTAGCCACAGCAACGCTTGGCCGGTCTGCTAGTATTTCGGTATATATGTTTGAATGTGTATTCCGTTTTTGGCTTTTGTGTATAGTATAATTGTTTAGATATTGTATGATAAGTAGTTGTAGGTGATACGTCAATAGAAGGCGGGCTCGGAAGACAGGCCGATTTTATAATTAATAAAGAAGAATACTGACAAGCAAATAAATAAATAAATACCCGATTAAGCTTTCAGACAAAGCCACTGTGCAAAATTATTAGAAATATGTTTTTTATATAATATTTACTGGGGATATTTGCTAAAACCTTCTGCCCTACGGCTGTGTCAATAGTTTCCTCGATGCGGAAATAAAATATTTTTTTTACTAAACCTTTGTCTTTTCTGCCACAATCGGTCTTCTAGGGCATAACTATAAGTACCACTATACACCACTATACACCACTATACACCACTAGACGCACCTATATCCTTACTCGTTCTAGTAATTTTGCAAACAAAAAACATGAAACCCAAACAATGATTGCAGCTTTTATAAGTTTAAGTCTCTTTGGTTAAAAATATAATTAGTTCTGAAGAGGTTTTAGTCCATGAAAGCATCTGTAATGAAAGGAAGCTATTAGAAACACTACAAGTACTTGTGAATTCATTTTAAAATAGTATTTAATACGATTTGCTATAAATATAAAAATGATTGGTTTGAAGTATGAGTTTTGTATACAATATTTCTTTTCTTTATCGCAATGTTTAAAAATCCTTATAGCTGTGTGTTCCATATAACGAAATAAATATAATGGGTATATGATTAAGAAACGCTAATACAACAAGAGTGTTGAGACGTTGATATAATATTATGTATTTCCATAACTACTTTGTCACAAAGGCAACACGAATATGAGTTATATGTAAATTTTAAAATGCACAACGCTTTCACATGTTACGTAAGCGTTTATTTTGGCCTCAAAATAAAGAACCTAATAGTGCTCATCTGCCATGTGCATGTGTAGCCCGTAATAAAGAGCGAAAACTTGAAAGATCAGCTATAACTATCTATCTATACTTAATACCTGAAGAGTTTTATCGTCCGCCATTATAAAAATGGGTTACTCGTATATTTGTATTTTTTAACGTTCAAGTATATAGATAGATAGTTTCAATTTCATTTTAGCATCATCATCATCATATATGATCATTAAAAATAGACAGTGGATTTCGATAGTGTGAAAGAATTAGAATAAAAATACTTAATGCAGAATTTGAAAGAGATCTCATCAAGGAAACCGTTTAGTTTTTCAAACGATTTGTTTTTTTCTGTTTGTCAATGAGCGCTGTTAGTTACCATTTTAATTTATTTACCAATTAGGTAATACCTAGGTAACACTGAAAATGTTTATAGTCCGGGAGGTAGCGTTGCAAATGAGAAAGTCATAGTAAGCCGGCTGATATTAACATAGATAGTTGATCTTATATGACTAATAAGTGAACCGACCGTCAGCTGCTCAAGTAGCGGTGGGTGCGGGTGTAGGAGGCTGCGCTTTCGCAGCCTCCTACACCCGCACACCTCTTTAGGTAAAAAAAATAAAAAAATTAAGTAATAGTACGCTGGCTGAAACTTGTTCCATGAATAGTTGATGACATACTGAGCAAAAAAAAATCATCAGCTGCATCGTGGAGGGTGGATTATGCGTCAGCTGCCCGCATGCACTTGTGAAAAAAAACGTAAAATAAAGTTATAATACGCCGAATGAAATTTAACTCCGTGATTCTACAAAATATATAGAGTACGAAAACAACAATCAGCTGTTTAGGTAGCGGTGGAAAGACCGTCAGCAGACGCAGTCAAGATTTAAAATTTTGGAGCATTGCTGTCAGGCTGTTCGCTTTCAAACACATATTTTGCGATACATTCTGGCCTTGCTTGAACCCATAGCACGACCTTCGGGCTACCTAAACCTCTCCCCCTAAAATTTCAAAGCAGCATTCGGGGCCGCGCCGACCCCCCATACACAACATACAACCCGCTTGCGTCGCACGCAACGCATCGGGTATCGGGTTACGTTCATAATTATAAATACTCCATCATGGGTAGGATTCAATAGCATGATTTATCTTGACACCAGTTGCAAACAAAAAATTTCCTATTTAACGACAATAAACTCTTCTTCCGACGAATACAGCAGTTGTTATCGAAACGATGAAACAGAGCCAACAAGTAGCTTCAGAATGCAATGAAAATTATATGGAAGTTACGTACGATTTAGCTATCGCCAAAATCGCATTGCAGATTCAAAGTATGGAAAAACCACGATTCGATAACTTATTCATTCATTTTGGATCATTTCACATCATGATGGCATATTTTAAAGCAGTAGGAAAGTTTATCGACGGTTGCGGAATTACGAATGTGATGTTGAATAGCGAGATTCTTGCGAGCGGCTCCATAAATAGTTTTATAACTGGTAAACACTTCAACAGGTGCAAACGGTTACATACTCTTTTGTCTTTGGCTCTCCAAACTCTCCATTTTGAAAAATTCGCTAATGATCGGAGCATAGAAATAACTGATGAAATGAAGAAATACTTGTCAGATTTCATGACAGAAAAATCAGTCAATCCAACGGTTACGCGAGAAGATTTAGTTGATTGTTTTGAAAAATATGAAGAGTATAAACAACAAACACTCAATGGAAAGTATGGAAAAACTTCGCAATTTTATATGATTTATATAAATTTGATTGAACATTATTTTATGCTATGCAGAAGTATTCGAACAGCCAACCTCGATCTTTTTAGATTTGTTTTACCTAAAATTGCAAATCTCTTTTTCACTTTCAATCAACCAAATTATTCACGTTATACCGTGATATATCACGATAAATTGATGAAAGTTCACGAAACTCACCCAGGGTTGCAGTTGCAACTCGCAAGGGGATCGTTTGGAGTTAGAAGAACGGACAAATCCTTCTCCAGACAGCCTATCGATTTGACGTTAGAGCAAACCATAAATGCAGATGCTGCAAATAAATTGACCGGAATAATGCATACTACGAATTCAATTTCGGCTCGTCAACGTTGGTGCAAAAGCCACAGCATTCGCTCAACAATTATCAGCCATATTATGGAGCAAACAGGATTGAAAAAGTCTCAAGACATTACTGCTGACCTGGAGAAGAGTAGAATAAAAAGAAATTCGCTACAGCTCGAAAATGTTGTTTCTAACATCAAACAAAACATCAATCCCTTTTCAAATGATTTAGACAAAAGTTTGTTGTATAATATTTCAACAGGTCAAGCAATACAACCGAACATTGAACAATTTTTGCTGAATGTAGAGAATCTTGGAAATGAGTTGCGAGAACAATTTATAAAAGAATGTTCTGAAGATGCAGAAAGATTTGAAAAGGCGATAAAAAGGAACAAAATTTTGACCTTCGTGGATGCAGTGCCGAAGAAAAAATTAGCCATTTCTGGTAAATTAATAGAAGTTCGCATGCAACGCGACTTATTTGCACAGTTGCTTTTAATTTCTCTGGAGCAAACGTTAAACATTGATAAAGTTCTGTCGTATCCACTAACACCAGTTCCCTTAGCTATGTGCCATGCAGATGGGATAATTTGTAAAACGGATAAATCAGTTTTATTAAAAATACTCGAAAAAGAAACTGACAGCAACACACCACAAAGATGCGACGTACTTATTTATGATGGCTTTTTTATGCTCCATGCATTTCAAGACGTTCCATCTACATTTGGGAATATTTCAAAGAAACTAATACAAATGTTCACGAATAATCATGCGCGCATTATTATAGTTGCATTTGATCGTTATTTTTCGCCATCGATTAAAGATATCGAGCATTTGTTAAGAGGCAGGGTTAGAGGTCAACAGTACCGTATAAATGGGCCCGATCAAGTACGCCCAGCTAATTTTGCGAACGAATTGAAAAAGATGTATTTCAAAGCAGCCCTAGTGGAATTTCTTTGTGACCACTGGGGAAATAATTATATGGCGAGCTACATAGGCAATAAGACAATTTATATCAACTACGAGTTTTGTTATAAATATGAAGTACAGAATAATGAAGTTCTACGAACCCTCGATCACAATTTATCTTGTCCGGCTCACGAAGAAGCTGATACGAAAATTGTATTTCACGTTTGTGCGTTAGATTTCGATGCTCACGTTACGATAAGATGCTCAGACACGGATATTTTCGTGATAATGCTCGGCAATATGAATGCGATTGCCAACGATATGAAAATAACTATGCACATTGGTTCCGGAAATTCCCAAAGATTCGTTAATATCACGAAGTTATATGAAAAATTGGGAACCGATTTGTGCTCTGCGTTGCCAGGTTTTCATGCCCTCACAGGCTGTGATTTTAATCCCGCATTTTATAGGAAAGGGAAAAAAAAGCCTTTACAATTGTTGCGAGAATCACAGGCGTATATGCAAGCGTTGGGGGATATCGCGAATATTCCGAGTCGTGAATTAGACGAGGTCTTCATAACGATTGAAGAATTTGTTTGCCGCTTGTACGGGTATAAATCGATAAACGATGTCAACGCTACACGCGTTGCTACCTTCGCGAAAAATTATCAAATTAATGAGAAAAACGACGTGCTCAAGTGGAAAAGCCGTATTGACGGGGCGATCTTCCCGCCATGTAAATCCGAGCTACGCCAGCATTTACTGCGCACGTCATACATAGCGCACATTTGGAGCCATGCTCACCTTCAAGATCCATCTCAATTATCTCCCACGGACTGGGGATGGGAAGAAAACGACGACAAATATGTCTTCAAATGGTTCGAAGGAGATCAAGTACCCCTGTCAGTCACCAGTATAACGGATAGCAGCGAAAATATTGGCGGTATGGAATTTTTGTCGGTGACACTTTATTTGAGCTTTCTAGTAGCCTAATTTTGATAATTTACATGGTTATTTACAGATGACGGTGAAGAGAATCGAGGTCAAGAACTCGATCAAGACGAAGAGAACGATGTCCTGCAGGACAGTTCGGCCGATGATTCGTCAGACAACGATGATGATAGCGATACCAACGAATAACTTTTGTGATCTTTTTATTTCTATATTTCGATTTTGTATAGCGTGCATTTTGTTACAAATAAAACGAGACAAAAATATATCGAGAAAGATTCTGTGCATTTCTAGAATAACCTTTACCTTTACTGCGTCAGCTGGTCTTTCCACCGCTATACACGCAGCTGATTGTTATTTTCGTACTTTGAATTATTTAAACGATCACGTAGTCCAATTTCATCCGGCGTACAATGACTTTATTTCACGTGATTTTATTACAAGTTCATGCGAGCAGCTGACGCATAATCCCCCCTTCACGATGCAGCTGACGATTTTTTTTTTACTCAATATGACATCAACTATTTATGGAAAAAGTTTCAGGCGGCGTACTATTACTTAATTTTTTATTTTTTTTTACTTCTTTCGCAACCTCCCAATTCCAAACCCACCGCAGGTGCGCCAGCTGACCCTTGGTTCAGTTATAAGTATTTCGAGATAAATAGTGAAAGAAGGAAAATAGTCGGCGTAAAATCACTGCCTAAAATGCAACGCTACCTCCCGGACTATTAGAAAAGGAAAAACGGCTTAATGTAGAAAGTTGCCAATACTTTTATTGTTTTTCAAAGTAATCTCCGTTCCTCTCTACACATCGTCGCATTCGGTGTAACCACTGAGAAAAGCAGTGGGCCCATTCCTCCTTAGGGGTCTTTTCTATGGCATTTTCGTACGCTTTCACCGCATCTTCAGGACACGTAAAGCGGATACCTCGAATTTTGTCTTTAGTTCTTGGGAATAAATGAAAGTCGCTGTGACGATGTCAAATACAGCATTTGAGTCAGCACCGTTGAACTTATCTAACATTTGGCGACACCAGTCCATGCGAAGGTGTTTCTGGTCGTCGGTTAAAGTATGGGGAATCCATCTGGTATAAATCTTCCTGACGCCTAAATGTTCGTGTAATATTTTTGAACTTGATTCATACCAATGCCTAGGATTACCCGTATGCTGATAGGTCACTCTCTTATCTTCCTATATCATGCGTCGCACAGCACTGATGTTATCTTCATTAGGCGCTGTTTAAGGACGTCCTTCACGCGGATTCATCATTGAGGTAAATAGTGGCACGAGATGGGGCTGCGTTAAGAAATACTAATCGCAGCTTATCATAGCTTTGTTGTTCAGTAAGCCCACAACGAAAGTTATAATAAATCATTGACACAAGTTTTGAGTAACAAGAGTTTTAGATTTGCCGCCAATTCATAAAAACAAATGACAAATGAATGCAATATACTACATTAGGTTACTAAAGAATTCTAAAATTGGATTTCAAAAAAGTTTTCATTAGCAATGTTTCTAACTGGCCAGTTCTAAACATTTTCAGTGTTACCCACGCATTTTCATATTACCTAATTGGTAAGTTAAAAGCTTTAGTTCTGAAATTGCGCATTTGCAATTGTCTGTCTCGAATTAATTAATCCCTCCAAATACAGGCAAAAAAAAATGTTTATTTAAATATTACAGCTGTAAATAAACAATAAAAACTAATATTTAGATATTGAAATGTATCATAACCACTTTTACTACTTGCTATGAGTTATCTATTGTTAAAATTAAATCACATTCAATCAAGTCGATGTGTTACCTACCTACTTATTAATTAATTAATTGTTGATTGTGATGAATGTCTATGAGTAGTTTAATTAAACAAATGATGCAATTTAATCTCTTTATTATAATAACGTCTCTTAGTTAATACGTAATAATTTATTGTACATTCAATATGTTAACTTTACTACATGCAGATTGCCTTTTGGGGTTATTATATAAACACACGACTTGTGTTGTATTATGGTCGAGGGAAATATATTTAATTAATCCATACACACGACGACAAGAATATGAGTTTTCAGTTTGTATGTAAATTCCAGCCCAAAACCCTCATACAAACTGATAACATAAAATAATAGGAAAAAAGCACGAAGGCGTTGCACACACACACGATTACATATTAATTTACGCAAATATTTCAGCCCAATTTTCTCACGAACTGTAAAAACCATTATCAAGTATTGTTGTCTCGTAAGCGGAAGATAAGAAACAATACAAACTTAAATCACGGTTTACACTGATGCTCTGTACACGTTTCTGAAACAAGGAATACCTAATATGTAGATATATTAAAGTATTTAAAGTGTGAGTAAACTACAGTTAAATAACTCATTACACATAAATCTCTTAAAATTGCACGTCTCGAAGTCTGTTAAACTAATAACGAAAAATTTAAATGCTTTTTACCGCTTGTAATGTTCGCTGGGCATGCAGTCACATACAAGTCGCTTCTTCCACCGATCGGTCAACCGGTTCGCCGACCGACCGCCGAATGCCCCGGCTCTCTTCCCATATCGATTGGTTAAAAAGAATCTGTAACGAAGTAGAATATGTTCATGTTATGGTTAACTCGTATGTGTTAATAGAATAGTATATACCCAACTACCTGTTGTTCCTCGCAGTGAACTCCGTCAGTGCAGGCAGGGAGCGCCCATACCGACCGCTGATCCAAAATGTATCTGCCGAACGCGCGTGACGATTCTCTGTGTACGATAAGAACAATAATCAAGAAAAACGTAACGTTTTAAGAACGGGCAAAATTTTTAATCAACAATTATAAATCTATAGAGCAGGGGAGGTATATATATAAACATGTAATCTCCAAAAGTTACCTGGCCTGTGCTCAGCTGCGCAGAGAAAGGTTGTCAGAAGCGCCGCTACGCACAGCTGTCTCCACATGTTGCTTAAGCTGGTTGTAAGGAAAATATGCTTATATACGTTACACGAGTTTGCATTTTACGTTTAAATAAACAGAACTTATTGCTGCTTCATCGCCTTGTACTAGTTAGTATAACGTATTAATAAGTAGTACTAGTTAATATAATTTTCTTAACCTGAAGGCTTTACGGAAGATGTCAAATACGTAATCGGATTTCGTAACTACGAAAGAACAGAAAGTTTTTCTTGCAAAGTATATAAAGCTAGCCTAGTTACACAATAGATTCATTTCTGTCGAGACTATCCTTAAAAAGTGAAAATATTTTTCCGATTTCCTTCCGTTTTAACTTTCCGCCATTTGCTTTAAAGACAGTGAAGTCGATTTAAAAATGACTACGAGGAACGCCTTTTATAAGATCTCCTATATAAACATATGTCTGATGTGAAATACCGTTTGGTAATTAAATATATTTTCGACATTATATCTAGTAAGTACAAAATGGAGGGCTCAATATTTCAAACTTTATTTAAGGGATAAATCTTTTTAAGTTCTTCTTATTAACAAATTTTGATGACTACACTATTAAATCAAGTCAGACTAGTGTAATTGAAGATTATTTTAAGATGTGTTGCATAATCAATCCTATTGGTCGTATCAACTACTATGTTTTTGTTTTAATGCAATTTCTTGAATTACATCTTTCTAAATGTAAAGCCTTGATACAATTATTTTCTCTAACTACCTCTACCTATATTCTTCTATAAAGAATATACTCATAGTAAACAGAAAGCTAAAATATATTTGAGCTTTGTTAAGAAATACAACATAAACAATTTTTTTAAGCAAAACGATGCTTTATTGAACATATTATACATGAAAGTGAAACTTACCGGGTTAAGTTATTAGACGACGTGACCGCCCAAAGGATAACTTGCAACTGAAACTGTTTCAGACAGCGAACTGCGAAAGCTAATTGGCATTTGGCAGTGCCGCGAGGTAAACACAGTACGTTTTCAACAGAATAAAGTTTTTACAACATTTCTTTGTTACTGTATTTGTATTACAATACTGTGTTTGGCAGAAATCGAGACCACCAAATACTTTCTACCATAAATATGCCATAACCTTATTAATCTACATGTAACAAATAATACAATTTTCATAATAAACAAAACATTAAAAAATTTAAGGCATTTTATTATTTTATTTTGCTAGATTTTAAATTCGATATTTATTCAGAATTTAAGGTTTTTCGAACAAATTTAGACATACAATTTTAATTTTTATTGAAGTTCCGTCTTTTCTCCTAGCTGTACACATAAGTAACTATAAATAAACCATGGAGAAATACAAACGTATCTTAAAAAGAATTATTTTGTATGCTATGAATATATTATATGTCGGAGTAATGGCGCTGGTATCAGCTGCCATTTTCATTATAATTTAATAACATCAAAGTCAAATTAGTTCAAAACCGTTATATGGTTTATTTCATTTACTAATATTAATAAAATTCAATTCAAAATTCAAAAATCATTTAATCATATAAGTAACACAATGTACACTTATGATCGTCAAAAAAAAGAAATGTATATGAAATGCTTCTAACTTTTTAGTGCCAGTTCTCAAATCAAGGACGTAGAACGGAAGAGAAGGACTGGCAATAAACTCTCCGCCACTCTTTTTAATCGCCATGTTTTTTTTTACAACGTTTGTAAGGAGCTGCAACCATTACACCATGTTCCACATGACATCTTAAGTAATTAATAATAATAACATAAATTAAAAACAAAGACTTGTCCTCTATCAACAGGAGGCATAGTGAAATAGGAGCACGCACTTACATTCTCGTGGGAACAACACGCAAACACCAACCAACCGCATAAACCATGGATTCAAAACTTCAGTGGTCCCCTTATATTAACGGATTGGCAAAGAGACTTAGTTCTGCAGCCTACGCGGTTAAAAAAATTTGCTCACTAACTGATGTCGATACAGCTAGACTTGTTTATTTTAGTTACATTCATAGCTTAATGACTTATGGCTTATTATTATGGGGTCATGCTGCTGATGTCGAAACTATTTTCATCCTGCAGAAGAGGGCTATTCGTGCAATCTATAATTTAAAATGTAGGGAATCTCTTAGAGATAAATTCAATGTTGCCATGCTTTATATAGGTTTCTGCTACAAAATGGCGTTAGTCCGCTAACAAGGACAGTTTTTCATTCCGACCCATTGGTGCCGACGATATAGTGAGGA